CAACCACACCAGTTAGTTAATCTGGTTGGGCCAAAGTCGAGCCAACGACTTTAAAAATGGGCGGATTTTCGGGAGGCAACCCGATGAGTAGTTTTAATTTTACGCTTCAATAAAGAGATGGTCGTAGTTCCAAGCAAACTTGGGGAAATTCAAATGATTGACAAAGTTGTTGAAATTTAGATTTTTCGCCACATCATCGTCAAATCAAATTTCTACGAACCTATCAGGTACATTCATTCCTAGCTGCACCCTTTTGTTTTTATTTGCTTTATTGAGTTGTTCATCCTCTCTGAGCATTGAGGACAATGCAACATTTTAAGCTTGGGGAGGGGGTTAGTAAAAACATTTTGCATCTTTTGTTAAAATTTCAAATTTTCAGTTTTTAGGTTAAATTTTTCAAATTTTATTTTTCTTTTTGCATTTTATTCCTTGCATTTGCATAAAAAAACCACAAAAAGATTTTATTAATAGTTATTTTTTTTTTTTTATTTTCTACATATTAAAAAATTCTTTAAAAAAAATCGAAAAAATTCAAATTAAAAATACGAGATGAGGATATTCTTACATTAGATAAATCCGTGAAGATGGAAAATGAAATTCCAAAGCAACCGGGTTGTTATTGGAAGTGTAGAATCAGCTATCATAACTAGGGGACCCAAACACCGTAATCGGAGACCCTAGTCGTAGATAATAATAAAATGGCATACTGAAACGTTTTTGTGGACAGTACAGTAATAACAACTTTGGGATGATTTGCTTTAGAATGTTAAAAAAGAGCCTTTAACGACAACTCTGGACCCATAGAACACGGACCTTTTGTTGACACACGTTACCCTCGCGGTAACAGGGAGGCTTTATATCAGATCCACATAGTTAAGAAGGGAAGAAAGGGTTACAATTGTCATATCCAGTACCCAAATCAAAATTTCAAGCACTTAATTGAAGAAATCTCAAGATATTCAAAAGTTGATTGAATAATTCAAGCTAAAGCCAAAGATACAAATTCAAGTTCAATCAAATCAGAAGCCATCTAAAAGATAAATTTGGCGAATGAAGAACTGTGTGATATAATATTAGTGGCTCTCGAAAAAGTGAAAGCATAGGAGCTGGGCCCCTACGAGAGTGGCCTACTGCTTCAGCGAAAGCTGATTCGCCGTGACGGGTTCTTAAGGATGCGTCGATTCTGGTTCTTGATTATCTAGTCTTAAGGACATGAGATCCTGGACTGTGTTATTTCGCTCATAAAGCTAATTATGTTTGTGTAAAGTTTGAGTAAAAGTATGGTCAGATTATTGGGTTACACCGTTTCGTGGTCTTCCTCACTTTGGGAGTCTGTGATACATGAAATGTAGCAAGATGGTCGTCTAGGTAGTAGTGATTAGAAATCATTCGATGTAAAGTCTGATCGTATATATAATATATTATATATATATATCTATATATATATATATGTATTATATATATATGTATATATATATATGTATATATATCATATATATATATTATATATATATATATATATATATATATATATAAAGGGTGAAGTATTTTTATATTCTTTTATTTTATTCTAAATTCTTTTTAGGTCATCTACATTTTTCCATTTGTTTATAATGTTTAAGCTTGGGGAGATTTTTAGAAGCCATTTTATACATCTCATAGGGTAGCTTTTATTATCATTTAGCATCATATTTTGTACATTTGCATGTCATTTATTTAAATAATGTTCAGCTCATGTATTTTATTAGAATTATCGTACTACTCACGTTTTTATGCCAATTTCATATAGTTCGAGTGGGAGCAATGCTTTGGGAGTAGTTGGATGCATGTTTGGTGCTCAATTGGAGTCTAAAATAGGAAGGATGCTGAGGAATGATCAAAAACAGCTTGGAAGGAAGAATGACGATAAAAAATGCACACAATTCAATACATGTGATCACATGTCTTGTCCATGCGATCGCAGCTTTGTCCATGTGATCGCATGTTTGACCCGCAGCTTGACTTCGGAGATTTTTCATGCCAAAAATTCAGATGGATGCAAAAAAATGGTCTTTATGTGATTGCAACTTTGCCAAAATGTCTCAAAATAGCATCCTACTTCATTAAAAAGGCCCGAGACGCGTTTTCTTCAATACATACGATCGCAACCTTGATACATACATTACTAGAAAAACAGCCTTTTACGACGCGCAATGCGTGTCGTAAAACGCTCAGACGACGCGCAAATGCGCATCAATGAAGGCCCTGTCATAACGAGAGACGACACGCTTTTGCGCGTCGTCTATAGACGACGCGCATTTACGATGCACATTTATGACACACAATGCGTATCATTAAAACCCCTGTCAAGAAGGCCTGTCATAATGAAGATGACCACAATTTTTGCGTATCGTAAATTTAAATGTTAAAAAAATATATATTTATATCATATACAAAAAAATACAATCCATTGCATAAAATTTAATATCATACAATCCATTGCATAAAATTTAAATTTGCATTTAATGTCTCATAATAGAAATAAAATACCATATACAAAAAATACAATCCATTGCATAAAATTTAATGTCATACAATTCTATTTCTTACAATATATAAATTTGCATTCATCTAATCTACTTTGTGTTTCATACTAACAATTGAAATGAAGAATGCAACACTTGCATTTGCAGCATCTTATCTCTTTCAGCTTGAGCTTTCTTTTCCTCTTCTAACTCAGAGCTATTCGCTTTCATCAACCCTGTAAACACAACACAAAATCACTTGTCATTTTCATTCTACTTTTAAAAAAATCTGCGTCCTCTTGGAAACGATACATGCGTCCTCTTGGAAACATCTGACTAAAACAAATGGAAATACGTTACTGTTTCTTGATGTTTGAGCCATTTAAAAAATGATAAACAAATAAATAGTATTAAATATGTGCTGCTGTATCATGGGAAGAGGCTGCTGAACAGAACCTGCACCAGCACCACGCCTGCCAGTGCCACCAAGGCGTTGACCTTGTTGACCTTGTTGGGCAGCAACAGGAGAGAAAGAGTTTGACATTGGGGCCCACCTGGCCTCCTTCCAGGGACCAACTGTTGTTGGTAACAAAAACCCGCCTAAAAATAAATAACATAATCTTGATTCTTACTTTAGTGTATTTTATTAATCAAGAAAAAAAGGGAAATAACAATTTTACCTGGTGAGGAAGCATAGCAGGAGGAGGCTGCCCGTAGAAAAGCTGTGCCCAATACCTGGACCACGGGAGGGATACATGGGCATACGTGGGCCCATTGAGTTTGCCATTGCAACAGGCCTCATTTGTGAAAATTGTGCCTTTTAAAAAATAACCAAAAGAATAAATATTTTTATTACTTCAAATTCAGTTATAAATTGAGTCCTTCCATGGTGGGATGCTACTGAGAGTTGCTTCACAGCTACTATCTTTCCATCACTTAATATCCCCTGTGTTACATATTAATAAACCTCATTATTTGTTTATTTTTAACAAAAGGTTTAATACAAAACTTATATATATAAAAGAAAAAACCTTGTAAACAGGTCCAAAACCACCCTCTCCAAGCAAATTTGAATGACTGAAATCTGAGGTTGCAAATTTAGGGTTAATACAAGCGGACTAATTGAGACAAAATAGTATATCACTATGTGGCTAATGAAATTAATCTTAAAGATGACAAAAGTATTGTATATCATCCCAATAGCAAAAACATAATCAACAAAAACTTCAACCATATTGTTGATCTCGACTCATTCACCCATGGAAGAGTAAGGTCTACACTGATCCTAATTACAATTGGTACTAAGCTTATCCAGAAACAGAAAGCTAGATAAAACAAGTGATATTGCAAAATTGAACAGAAAAGTGAATTCAAGGAGAGAGAGGAAACCTTGCTGGGCTTAGAAGCCCTAGTTTGAAAAACACCGAGAGACCAAAGTCAGTAGCTTTCAATAGCGAGTCTTCATCGGTACTCAAGAACAAAAAGTTCTCAGGTTTTAAGTCTCAATGGAACACTCCCATCGTATGAAAATCATGCACCACCGTCACCATCTGCCGGCAGAGTCCAGCTGCCGCACGCTCTGAATAATGTCCCTTAGCTATAATCCGATCAAATAGCTCATCGCCGGCGCACAACTCCATGATTAGGTTAACAGAGTGCGATCCTAGTAATTTGGAAGATAGATGGTGATGGGGAAGGCCGGTCGTCTTCATTGGAAGTCGACGGCGGTGGGAGACACTCAGAAGGGTCGAAGAAGCAGCAGATGGCGGAAGGTGAATGGAGGTTGAGAATCGAGAGAGAAGAAGAAAGAAAGAAAGAAGAAAGGGGTTTTCGGCGGGGATGAGCTAGGGTTTTCAGCCGGTGGAAACAAAGCGGGCTTTTTAATTTTTGGATTTCATTTCCCCTAGGATGAAACGCGTGTTTCATTAAAATTTATAAAGCGACATGGTTAGACGACACACATTTTATTTAAGGTGCCCTCCATGTTTTTTTATTGACACTAATTTTAGGGCACGCAAAAATGTGTGTCCTTTATGCTTCATATTTTGGAAAACTAACATCAATTTTTAGGGCACGCACAAATGCGTGTCCTCTATCAGCGCGTGTCATTGATTGCACGTCGTAAAAGGCTGTTTTTCTAGTAGTGATGCGATCTCATGTTATCAGATTCTTGTTCCGGAAGCTTCCACCTTGAGTATAAATACCGCCCTCATAATCAGTTGTAAGGGTGGGACGATTCCAGACGAAGAAAACCACTTCAAAAGGCGATTTTCGAATTCTTTCAGCGACTTTTGAAGATCTGAAGATTGCGAATCATCTCATATATTTAGTTTAGAAGATTCATCAGTAAATGTTTCTTCTATCTAGTTTAGTTTCGTTTTTAGCCATGTCTGGATAAACTTTAGTTTTCAGTTCTGCATAGACTAGTACTTCTCATGTGATTAGTTTTCAGATCTGATTTCCGTTTTGTGTTTCTATCTAGATTTTTCAGTTTTGAGCTTAATGAACATTTGATTTTAAATTGTTAGTCTGATTACCTAGCTAGGGTTTTATCATTCTAGTTAATCTGTTAATAGAATTTGGGATTTAACTCTATTATAAACTATAAAAATCATACCTTTACGCTTTCGAGCTTGTGAGAATTATTGAGTATTGTTGGGAATTTTACAAAGATTTTAATGCAATTTTCTGATTTAATTAAGAGCTTGTTTAATTAAACAGTAAAAAGTTAGGGTTAATTGAAGAGCTTGTTTTGGTTAACTAATTTAGGTAAAAGAGATTATACTAGAGCTTATTAGTTTTTCTCAGTACCAGCTTAAATAGAACGCATTCTGTATAACCAGATATGAACTAGTTGCATGATTAGGAAAGTCGCAACAGAACTAAAACCGTTTTTATTATTGATTTTCATTTAATTAAATATCACTGCAATTTTAGTTTAATTCACCCCCCCCCCCTTTTATATTTCTGTTTTGACGAGATTGTGCCTGATGCAAAAAAGGCATGACCATTAGGCTGTGTCCCTGAGGATTCGACCCTACTTCCTTGTGCTATATTTTTAGTGCAACCAGCAGTGATAAATTTTACTTGTTTAATACGCGCACGACAGAGTGTTACCAACCACTGTAACAACCCGTACTTTTAATAAACATTTAATATTTAAATATTGGGAATAATATCAAAGTTTACATAAGTGATACCAAAAACCAGAGTTTCAAAACTTTAAAAAGCATTCTCAGCATAAACATCTCGGTTGTTACCGAATTCATATCACAACCATAAATAAGCAAGTGAGGATAATTGTGAAACAAAAGTCTAGTTCATAGTTCTTGATGCTTCTAAGTCCTCTCTCTATAATGCTTTCTACCCAAACTTGTTAAACACATGGAAAAAATATATGTTAGACTATAAGTCTAGTGAGTTATAACATAAATATAATACAAATTAAAGTGTTAAACATACAATACATATTTGGCTTCTCACATAAGTAACCAAGCATCTACATATATATCGTGTGATAAACTACCGGTCATCATCATCTATTTTTCTATGCATAATTAACATAATCTTCGTAGGCATCCCTTAATCTACTCTTTGCATGCATAATGATACTCATCATAAAACATAACACAAGTTATATATCATAACAAAAATCTAACAATGATGTAATTAACAATTACATCCTTACATTCACATGCTTGCACATGTTCTATATCACATAAACATACTCTAAAGGGAAACTATAACTCGCCTTATGTTATGGAAATAGCAACCTGCTTCCAACTTCACCAAAGCTTATCTTGAGAGGCTCCAAATCCTTCTTTGCTACCACCTAGAACATTTATACACATTAAGCCTCTCATACATGTCTTAATCCATTAATACATCACTTGCGATTTTAGCCAAAAACTCATATTTTGGACAAAAACCTAGATTGACCATCCTTTGCTCAAATACTTGTAAAACTACACCAGTCAAACAAATAAAAACTCAACTTAACTAGATTATTAATGTGTGCAAAATAGTACCTATAAACATTTAAATTTATAAACTTAACTAGTTATCTACTAATTCACCTATAGGCAGTGTACCTAGTCATTTTTAGTATAGTAAAGTAAGTTGGGTATCGAACACAGGGAACGGGATTTAGCTAGTAATCTGATTTTGCAAGTTCAAATTAACTTAAACTCTTTAATTAACTAAAAACTAAGCAAACACTTAACTAAGCGACGATTGTAATCAAGATTATAAGAATACTTATGTTTAGCTTTGAATCCCCCTTTTTCCAATGGATAGTTTCTAAACATGGATTTATTCAGTTGTTTACCAATATTAATATAATTAGCAGTCTTGATCCGATCTCCTAATATTTCACCAATTCATGAACTATTATGTAATGATCATACACAAGCAAACACATAACTGATTATTAATGATAATTAGGCTACATAAGATATGTTTAAGATAATTATCTATGATCAAGACAAATTATCAAACACAATTATGATCAAATTATGTTCTCTAACACAGTTAAAGTTGTTATATTTATTACTTAATCTAAGATTTGGTTAATCCTAGCTCTAGTAATTTAATGATCATAAACTACCAGTAAACAAGTTCATGCAATTCAAATGGTCATTAAACTACATTTAACTTGAATCAAAGTAACAACGATTGAAACTTTAACATGCTAGGTGATGATAATCAAACACAAGCTTTAAGCAACTTCATAAAATCCATATAAATCAAGAAACTATCACATAGTATTAAGGTTCATCTACACTAAATGAAAGCCTAATGATAGGTTACTCATGGTAGATAATAAACACACAATCACAAAAGGTTTAGACATGATTAAGCTAATGCAACCGAATGTAATGTGTAATCTTCAACTCTTAATCTTCAATCGAATCTTTCTTCCAATTGTTGATTTTCGCAAGTCTTTGGCTTCTAATTTTGTCTATTACTTCCAGAATATCAATACAACCTCCTCCAAATCGATTATGTAAAGGGTATTTGTATTTTCCCTATAACACCTCTCACATCGTGAGAATTAGGGTCTCACGTCGTGAGATCAGTGTAATTCGTGTCTGACATGGAAACTTGCTTTACGCGTATTTATCTTCTAGAATAATCATTTTCACGCCGTGAGCTTATATTCTCATGTCGTGAGCTTTATTTCAACGCCCCGATTTCGTAGTATTCGAATTGCAACCATTCGCAGGCTAAAGCCCTATTAAAGCGAAAACTCTTTCGCATCCAATCTTCCTGTTATGATTCTCATTTCGGTTCCGATCCTCCTATTGCAACAATTCTTACTTCGGTTCCAATCCCATTGACATTCATTTCGGTTCCGACCACCTTCTCGTCTGGTCTCAATGACGATGCTTTCGCAACGGATCACAACAATGCATTTTCAGTCTCATCTGGTCGCATTGATTGTCGTAAGATCGCATCCATTCGCATCTGATCGGAACCAATGCTACATATTTACAGCTTCATGCCTTAAAATTCTAACTTCTATTCGGTTTTGGCCCTTTTATTCAAGAGTGTCCTTTTTAGCTACAAAATAGAATTTAGACATTATAAGTACAAAATATCTTCATTATTAACTAAAATGTAGCATAAATGTATTAAAATAAAGCATAAATATATGAATATATATATATGACAATATCAAAATACTCAACACTTGCCTTTTACTTGCCCTCAAGAAAAATTTTGTATTTAATACATCACATAGAACCATGCCCACCAATATCACACAAGCCAATCCGAATTGAACCCACTAATTATGCCTTACTTCAATGCATGTATTTGTGTCTAAATCCTAATTACCTCCCAGCCCTAAATACTTACGATCCTCATAAACGCTTCCCATTTATTTTGAACAATATTCATGATTTTATGCATCCCTCCAAATCCATCCCTAGAAATCTTTCTTAACCTCGAGGTATTTTGGTTAAGCTCCCAAGCATACATATCGTAAAATATCATAGAAAAGAAAATTTACAATAATAATAAGTTGGCAATTTCGCCTTATTCTTGAACTTTCTTCAACTTGAGTCTTCAATAATTTAGACTTTTGAACTCTTCTTCATAATATTTATTGATCTTCATAGCTTTGTAGACTCTTATTCACTCAAACTTTGAAAAAAAAAAATTTCCTTTTTTTTCTTTTTTCACAATTCACTTTTTTCACTCAAAAATAAAAATTCTAAAAAGAAAAACATATGCTTAAGTGAGGGAACTTAACCTCAACTTTTATTGGTTAAAGTTATTAGTCTAAAGTGCAATGACTACATCAGCTCTCCTAGATACTTTTATGGTACATGATGCTAAACATATTATGTCCCTCAAACTAAGAAGGCTTGCGTTTTTTTCACACGATTTCAATAAGACTGGGAAGCCACAAATACACTATAATATATTTGCTCAACTAAATCTTAGGGTTCTCATCGAATCATCCCACATAATACTATCAAACTAGCCCATATGCAATAGTATTAAAATTTTTAAAAATGACTAGATTGATTAGACTATCTTTGCAAGCCTATTAATTTTTTGAATTTTCTAGCATTTTCTAATTAATTATTCTTATGCTAGATAATCCTTTTTCGACCCCTATTCCACACTTATTGCATACAATGCCCTCATTGTATGCTATGAATGCAATAAAAAGCAATAAAAATGAGAATAGGGAACAAAATCC